GCCCCCTCAACGGAGAGTAGGACTCGACGGAGTCCGAACTTCGGTAAAACAAATATCGTGTCTCAATTCTCTCTCATTTGATACTTGTGATCCACTTGGTTTGTGCTAGCTTGTGTGCAGGTGTATCTTGTGAGATACAACTCTTAGCAGGTCCTTGCAACTTGGAGAAAAAGATTGGAATCAAAGGCAGCAAGTTTGGAGCTTGGTGTGTTGACCCCTGTGCATCTCAGACATGTCCGAATGACCTACCGGACATGTTCGGTATTTATCACATGTGCTGATTTTAGTTCTTCTCCGCTCTAATCTTTGTGTTGTAGGGTCGTGGCTCTTGTATTTGTTTAGTACTTTCTATATACTCTGTGTTTAGTTTGTGAAGGGTTAGTTTACTCTATTTTGGAGCTTCCAAGCAATTGGAAGCTTTCACTCTAATCGTTTCCATATTTTAATGTGTTAATTTTCAGAAATGCCTATTCAACCCCACCCCCCAATCTAGGCGGCATCCTAGGTCCTTTCACCCTTCCCCTCTCCTTGGCGGCCCTTCCTAGCACTCTACTGCAGGTGCGCCGACCCTCGCAGCCCCGACCAAGCCAAGCGAGCACGAGGCTAGATCCACAGGTCCCTGTACATAGAAAGAAGAAAGAGGAAGAAGGAAGAGAGAATGACTAACATGCCCCATTTGTCATTGTCTAGTGAACTAGATTTGGGAGCCCAAATTTAGGTGCTGTTGTTGGAGTGAAAGCAGAAAACCGAGCCAACAAAAATAGGGGGAAGCACCTAAATCAGATTTAGGGGCCCTGATTTGGGTGCCCCTGCTGGAGTTGCTCTGACTAACATATTGCATTAGGCATCACCATATATAGAATAAAGCTAACCAGGAAAGGAGGCACGTTCGTAGTGGTTCGAATGGCCGGTAGGTGATTAGATTAATGGGACTCTATATATGGTGATGCCCAGTGCAATATGGCGAGAGTGAAAAATTCGGTAATTAATTAGAGGAAAATTACCACCGGATGTGAATAGATACTTGGTACGAAATTTTTTCGACAATTACATAAAGGGAAAGGCTAGCATCCGGATCCCTGCACCGCACGCCACGTCTGCTTCACATGGGGCCCATACCGCTTCAAGTCCCACGCCAGCACTGCGTCCCACATCGCTCCGTGTCGATCTGTGCCTTCAAGGTTTCCCGCTCACTTCCCCTCCACACCCACACACATGCAGGCAGGCCCAGCAGCTGCAGCTGCAAATGGGTCCCACTGCAACATGTGCAACATCAGATCTACTTTTACAACATCTAGAGGAAACATTTGCAACATACGCTCGAAATAGTTGAAACACTTACAACATACGTCTGAAACACTTGCGAAACACCAGAAAAAACTTGAAAACCACATGTTTAGCCATTGCAAATATTGCAAACATTTAGATGAAACCACTTGCAACATACGTATAAAAACATTTGAAACACTTGCATATATATGCAACATCCAGATCTACTTTTGCAATATCCAGATGAAACACTTGCAACATATGTCTGAAACACATGAAACATTTGAAACCTACACTTGAAACATACGTGTATCGATGTGCAACATCCCGATCTACTTTTGCAACATCCCGATCTACTTTTGCAATATCGATGTGAAACATTTGCAACACACCTCTGAAACATCTGAAACACTTAAAACATACACTTTCCAGCGCAATATCACCTTGCTGCTTGGACGAATGGAGGCTCATCGTTGCGGAGCTTGACGCCGGTGCGGAGGTCTGTGGCAGCGCATGGAGCTCGCCGGTGCCGCGGCAGAGGCACCATCGCCGGTGCCCCAGCGAAGGCACTGTGCTGCCGTCTCAATTTTAATTTAGTTCAAACTGACTTGTAGTTTGAAATTGAGAGAGTATATTTTAATTTAGTTCATTTTTCAAACATCATTGTCTATTCATACCGATCAAGTCAAATATCCACGTTCGAACCGTATTAGTTTTATTTTGGATGACAACTTTTTTACAAAAAATGAACTCACTCATATTTTTTATGACTAATAAAGCAAATTATGGTGCTTTTAATCTTTGTCAAATACAAAATCGGGTCCTCCACAAATAACCGGGCTACCTGTCATGTATCCGTCGGCATTAATGTTCACCATAAAAAGGGAAAGAAAAAGGAAATAGAGCAAGATCCTAAATTTTTGAATCGACAACTGGAGGCCAACAAATCTGAACCCAGAACTCCATCTCCATGGCCAGCGCTTAAATCTGAGCCTGAGGTGGCTCGCGTCCAACACCCTTGCTGACAGGTAATATATATTTTTAATATACAATAGTTAGAGAGTAATATTTAGTCAAAAATAATGCAGTAAATGTTGATAATACAATATTTGCCGTCATATGGAACACGTGTTTTTATCACTAATAAATATATATAGCAAGAAAATATATTTCTCACAATTAACTTGGTATACAGTGACTAAAGAATATTTGCCACAACATTTTCTCACTAATTGTGTACCATGTGGTGATGCAAAATTTTGTCACTGATAAATGTAATAATAGTGGGGTAAATTGTTTAGCCATAATTAATATGGTAAATAGTGGCAAAATATAATTTTGCCACAACATTTTCACACTAATCTTGAACCATGTGGCGATATAATATTTGATCACTCATAAATGGCAATAGCTGTGAGGAAAAAATATTTAGGCGCAACTAACCTATTTATTAGTGGCAAATTAATGTTTTGTCACTAAATTAGCCACTGAAGGTGCATCATGTGGTGATATAGTAGTTTGACACTAATAATCAGCACGGTAGTGGTGAAAATTAGTTTGGTCACTAATAACATGGCAATTAGTGACAAAACAAAATTTGGCCACCACATTTTACCACTGATGCTCAGCCTCCCTGTAGTGAGAGGGAAAAGAAGTGAGCGTAGCGCTTTAAAAAATTTGGCTCTTTGGCTATCTGTGAGAATTTCGTTTTTATCATGCAATCATGGACTAATTAGGCTCAAAGAGAAACCTCCAAATGAGGAAGAAGACGATACATGTACCGCAGATTCACTTCAAAAATTTTTGGAAAACTTTTCATGAACTAAACAAGAATTCTTCATGCAAGTGAGAGATGTTTACCAAAATAATGGAATTCTCCTGGTAAGTAGTAATAAAACAGTATCTTTTGGGTAAGAAATTATACAAGCATCAAAGTTTGAACACAAGACAAAGTTGTATTCATTTCATGATGATACTGTACATGTCGGAGGGGGTATTTATAGGGGTCCTAGTCTTCATACTTTACATAGAATGACTATTTTACCCCCAATTCAAATGGCTACAGTCCTTTTCAACTACAAGGGCGAAGTAGGCTTTTTCCTCTCTTGAGCCTTCATTCTTCAACTTTTGTACATCAACTTCATCGATGTCTTCGTCTTCCGGACTTAGTCGATTTCCGCTTTGATTTTCTTCTTCTCTCAGAATGTTAGGCGAAGTCAAACTCTTGTCTTCACCAAATTCTTGCTTTCTTCTTTTTACCAGCGAAGACGAAATCTTTCTTACGAAGTCAAATTTTCACCTTCGCTTCGTTACTTCTTCCTACAAGTAAATTTTGTTATAGAAATCATAATTTCAACTTCAAAGTTTTAGGAGCTGAGTTTTCTTGACGAAGTTAAATCTCCAATAGTACCACTAGCCATAGCACATAGGAATCCTCACTAGGAGGCATTTGGTAGGGAAAGTTATACTAAATTTTGAATGCTCATCACTGTCTAAAATTTTGGTTGTGGATCTTGGATCCAAATGCATGGACATGAGTTAAGAACAGGCATGACTAAGGTGTTCGTGAATAAAAATGAGGCACTTTGGCATTTCAATGTCCTGTTTAATGAGAGAGAGAGAGAGAGAAGAAACATTGTTCAAGAAAATGTTGTCTGGCACTGATAATGGTTGTGAGATTCATGAACTTGTGTGAGAGCTGGTTGTTCACTACCACAAAAAACAATTTTCAGAAGCAGATGAAATTGATCTTTAGCCAGTGGATGCACCAACCTGTGCTATTCATGTGTCTCTAGAAATTGATTTCTAAGTGCAAGAAAACGTAAACCCTAGCAAGGGTCTTGATTTGGTGATTGAGTGACGACGTAAGAAATATGACTAACAATGTTTGCAAGCAAGCCTAAGCATGCCAAAGTTTCCCTTCGCTGCCCCTTATATCGGTACTGCGTGACAGAGAGCCACAACCATGATCGGTCAGGGCGCCACTTATCACAGCGCGAGGTGGAGCGTGTGCTTCTCTTGACTCGGCCAGAGCAACGGTCTGGGCATTGGCCCATTCTAGTTTCTGTGCCTGAGATAATTTTTTCAACACAAATGAGCAATACACTTACACAAGATTTTTTTTCACAATATTTGTATGTGTTTTGTTAGATTTGCACAGACAGGTCCTGTGGTACCTACCGTCTAAATCTTTAAGTAACATGAATTGTGGAAATCCATGAGAGCTCCAAGAAATGCGTGAGGAGAATCCCTGAGACCCTGACAGCAAGAATGAGGCCACCAACCTTGAGGGCTTTCATGAGCAAACTAGGGAGGCGAATGACTGCCTATTCGGCCTCTTAATAAAAATAAGAAAATTGAGACAAAAGCTATTGTGTCAGCTTCAGCTCCTCAGAGAAACAGATATTACATAGCTAGTGATACAGAGAGCTGCTTCAACAGTGAGCCTATATAACCAATCTATTGTACAATTGCATTTACAGTTTAAGCAATCATGACAAATGCTAGAAAGGAAAACATGCCCGCAGTTTGCAGTCCCAAGACCATGCCAAAACTGCATCATTTCCAATGTTTTCCAATGTGTTAAGATGCACTGGCATTTTGCAATGTTCAAGGAAAAATACGAGGCAGATACTATTATGTTAACGAGAGCAACTGGAAATGCAATAGGTGGTTCAGTACCGTCCAGGGTAGGTAAGGAGCATTGACACAATTCGAGTTAAGCTTTCCAATCAGGTGAGAGATCTGCCTGCCCATTCGCGCTCTCTCCGTTTAAGCTTTGCTTGCATCTTGTTGAATTTTTCTTTTCCTTTCTCCAGAAGTGGGTCTACCACTACATAGTCATCTGGATCATCTTTCCTTGCCATTCCATCCTGTGAAGACCAAGTTTAATGTCATTCCTAATCTTTACAAGATGCATCTATTTCACTCGTGTGATAAAGGGCAAGAAAGGCTAGCAATCAACCTTGGAAGAACTGGGTAAGAAAGACAATCGGTTTGTGTGCCACCCTTTGTAGTCATCCTCCTCTTCATCTTCCTTTTCCACCTTATCAGTAGAAGGATTCTTTTCTTTGACATGATTGGTAGCAAGATTCTTACTGAGGAAAGAAGACTTGAACTTCTGTAACTTCGCTAGAGTCTAACACCAAAAAAAAGCGTGTAAGAAGCATTGGACACCCAATTTGAGCAACACAAAAGCTAAAGAGATCAATTCAATGCCATGACATATAAATCTGCATGACCTATCTTGGCATGAGAACTGTGGAAATTATCATATTATTTTTTTTTAAATCATTTACCTCATCTTCGCGGCCTTGGAGTCGACGTTTTTTCTGTTTTTGCAAATGTCTCTCTTGCTCAGCTGGATTTAGTAGCTGCAAATTAGCATCTGCTTTGGACATCCTCTCGGCACTCGCTTCTGAGCCAGCACCTTTTTTCTTCAAGGATAGTTTTTTAGCCTTTTGTAGCTCATGCTCCTGATCATCGTCCTCATCATTGTCCCTCCTATAAACCAACAATGAGGAATCACTTTAGAAAAAGCTGTTACACAAATATCCATAGAATACATGTCTAAAGTTTACATCATTTCAAACATGCAAAGACGCAGGAACTCTTCTTCCATTCTCACCAGGATAAGATATATTTAACATTTGCTATTCAATACACGGTAACCCTGCTTTTGACAAGCAATATGTTTATACAGTGCAAAGAAATAGAATCACTTTTCACCACGACAAGATAATGAAGAATAAACAAACTGTTTCTTCTTTTTAAAATAAGAATAAGAAATAATTGCAAGATGAAAAAGAAAGTATAAAAACCATGAGCAAGTACATAAATTTTTGCATAATAATTGTATATATATAGCTATATACTGGTAACAGTCTTACCAGACAGGTTTTTAGAAACCAATCACTTAACCTTGGATTGTAAAGAAATCAAGACTTTTCAGTTAAGGGTCATATAGAAAAAAAAAACAAAATGCTGCAGGGTATTCACCAGATCCAGGTAACTAATTGATCAGCGCTATATAATGGCTACTTATAAGTTTGAAATGAACAAGGTTTTTAAGGCGGTAAAGCGAGGCGAGGCGACCAACAACCGCCTTACGCTAAAGCGAGTAAGGCGTCCGTAAGGCGAGGCGACGCCTTACGGCCATCCAAGCGAGCCTAGGCGTTACAAGGCGTTTTTCTAGGCGCTAGCATTTACATACATATATGTTTAAAAAAGAAAAGGAAATAAGAGATAAGTGGACTTTATTAAAGAGAAAGGCCTGTTAGCAGGCTAAAAGAAGCCCAATAGCAGTATTTTCAGCCCAAGTCCAACATATTCATATATATATAGTGTGTAACCCTAAGAGACAACGCTTCTCTCCCATCCCAGCCGCCAGTCGCCAGTCGCAGCTCATCCGCTTTCTCCCCGATGCTTCTCTTCTCTCCCGCTGCTTCTCACCCGAAGTCCCTTCCGATGGTTCTCCTGCCTCCGACGGCGGCAGCAGCTCTTCCGCTCGCCCTTCGTTCTCCTCCCCCATGGCGGCGCTCGCTTGCTCCCGTCCCGCTGCTGCGTCTCGTCTTCCTCCCGTCCGTGCCCCAGCCTCCGCCTGCATGCGGCCTCCTGGCCGCGTTCGCAGCCCGCCCTCCTCCCAGCCATGCCCGCGCCAGCCGCTAGCCTCCTCCTGGCGCGCTCGCCGCCACCCGTTGTCACTCCCGCAGGCAGCGCCCGCCTTGCTCGATTTCGACGAATCGGACGCCAAATCGACGACTTCCGGACGCCATGGTAGTAAGGCGGACGCCATACCAATCTGAGGCGAGTCGTCCGCCAAGTCGTCCCGCCTGTAGCGCCTTGCCGATTAGGCGACGCCAAAGCGACGCCTTAAAAACATTGGAAATGAATGTGTTTCCAACATTACCTATTTTTTGGGGGTGGGAGAGGGGGGGCATGATAATATGGGGAGAATGTATGTTCCAAAGAGGACAAGCATACCTATGTTGGATATTGGACCTGTGGTCTGATAGTTCCTTATCCTTATGATGTGGTTTATCTGTTCCAAAGAGGGCAGTAGCTTTTTAATCAAGATCCATGAGTAAAAAAGGATTGCATCTGATTTTCTAATTTCAGGACAACCACGATTCTAATAGAAACTTGAAACTTGAACAAAATATGCTACCTGCTTTAGAGGTTTCACGAGGGACATCACCAAGCTCTCTACGTTTTTTAAGGATTTGTGAGCGCATCCTGTTGTCAAAATCCTCTTCATTCTCATCTTCAGGATAATCATCAGACACTAGAGCATGCTCTTGCTCTCTTGATTCAACTTTCTTTGAGATCAAAGCATCCCTGACAGTTTGAACAGTATCCTTTTTCTTCTCCTCTTGCTCCTTGGACTGCAAAATGGGAATAAGCACAATGCTATTTAGATTTGGCAGAGCATAACAAGTTACAGAAGCAGGTAACACTATAATTGCAAAACCTGACCAGAGAAAAAGATGCAGATTGCACCCTAAACTAACTAAAAGGATGCCTGCCCACAAGAAAGACATTCAGCAAACAGGACTTAAGTACCAAAAAAGCGTAATATAGTAACCACACTGATGTAGCAGAGACTGCACAGTTCTAGATAGCCTAGCTGCCACCAGGATAAGGTTGTCCTGTTATTTTCAACATGGTATATTCACTAGCTAAATATTTGTTGTTCACGTGTTGAATATTTTTTATCACAAGTGACAAAAAAAATACCAGCTGACTAGAGTAAAAGATACATATAAAATCCTAAACCAACCCAATACTAGAGACCTTAAAATTAATGAGCAGAGCAAAGATGACTTATAAAAACAAACAGAAAAAAAAAAGGCAAGATGGTTTGTGTACTGATGTGGCAGAGACAGCACCATTCTAGATAGCATAGTTGCCAACTGGATAGGGTATTGTCTTCTTGTTTTCAGCATGGCATGTTCACCAGCAAAAGTTTGCTTAATAGGTAATATGATGCTGACCATTTTTTCCATCACAAGTGATAAAACTCACCAACTGTACATCCTCTGGTTCCCCTTTAAGAAAGCGGGGATCATCCAACACATCATGAATACTTTTTATTTTGGCCTGAACAGAGGTAGCTGCCTCATTCTCCTCCTCTTCTACTTCATCACCAAAAGAGAGGACGTTAAGTTGCCTGAAAGATTAACAGTTTGGGTCAAAACTAATCCAACAGGCATTGCATGGTCATCCTAAGAACAGTGTGGAGGAAACTACTTACTTAACTGCTTTCTTCTTAGGTTTCACCTCAGCATCAGCCTTGGCAACAGACTCGACCTTCTTAAGTTGCCTTGGAACAATATCCTCAAATGGGTCCCAGAGAACCTACGGAAACAGAAAAAGGAACCAGAAGGGTAAATTAGTTGGGATTGACAAGTGATGGAGAAACTATAAGGTAGGTTATATATCGCCCAAACAAAATATGGGTAACTACCATAATTTGAAATAAATACAAAATATGACAGTTGAGAATAGACACCTCGACTGAAAGAATTTTCTGCGGGTACACAGGTCGATCATCCTTATCAGTCTCAACGTCAGCCAAGGAAAGAAGGTTGAAAATAGAATCACCAGTAACCTGTAGGCAACATGTAGTCAACCATGATAACTCCAAAGGAACACCACATTTTACCAAGACATGCACTGCAAGAAGCTCTTGAGTCTCGAGCTAAGACACATTACCTTCCCAAAGATGGTGTTCTTCTTATCAAGCCAATCACAACGGTCAAGGGTGATAAAGAACTGGCTTCCGTTAGAATGAGGTGTGCCAGCATTGGCACAAGCCACTAAACCCCTGTGGTTAAACCTCAGCCGCGAGTGGAACTCATCCGCAAATGGTGCCCCATAGATGCTCTCACCCCCTGCAGGAGCAAAACCAGAAGGATGTCATCAGCCCCAAATCGAAGCACCTCACCCCCACCTCCCCTGACACCCACAACAAAAGGCCACAACCTTATTTACCAAAACAATCAGGTAATGTTACCCAGGCACAGATACATCAAATTCAAGATATCAGTAATCCGATCGAAAACTATGAATCAATTCAGTAGGCATCAACATCACGATGTGGAATCAGAAACCCTAGATAGGTACAGGTAGGTGAGGGGGACGGTCGGTTGGGTTCGTACCAGTGCCGGAGCCGGTGGGGTCGCCGCCCTGAACGAGGAAGTCCTTGATGACGCGGTGGAAGAGGGTGCCGTCGTAGTAGCCCTCGAGGCAGAGTTGCACGAAGTTGCGCGCCGCCTTGGGGGCCTCCTTAGGCCACAGCTCGATGTCGAGCGGGCCAGCCGTCGTCTGCACCACCACCTTCCCCTTCGTCGGGGGCTCAAGCACGTACACCGACGACATCCTGCCTGCCTCCTGTCGCCGCCGCCGCCTCGACGCTCTACCTCGCGAGCGTGCTCCCTCCCCCTACTCCCCGTTGGTACGGCCTAGGCGTCGGTCGGGCGGGCGGGGCGGGGCGGTTCGTCCGGTTCGTGGTTGGGTGATCGGGTCAGAGGCTTATCGGGTCCACGCTTTCTGTTTGCGAATACCGACTATGTGGATTCTTTTATCGATGGCTAAGACTATCTCCAACAACAACAACAACGGACATAAAATAGGGATCCATTCTACCATTTAGTAAAAGGATAGCATATCTAAATCTTTCATTCTCCAATGGCGACTGCAAAAAAAACATGAGCGAGCAAAGGCGGCGGGGGAGCGAAGCGCGCGCGCCAGCCACTTGACCGGGCGAAAGCGGCATGGGCTAGGTGGAGGAGCTCGAGGGCGAACCAGATCTGACGGGAAGCAAGCAGCCTCGCCCACGCGCTGGCGGCGAGCTTCGAGGCGGAGCTCAAGGCCATGGTCGTCGCGGAGCAGCAGCCAGGTGGCTGGGGCGGCAAGCAAAGCAGCACTCTAGGCTCAGGGGGCGGCGCGCCTGGATCTGGCTGGCGCGCGCACACATGGCGGAGGCGGCATACCTGGTCTTCGCGGGGGGGCGGCGCTCCTGGGTGAGTGGCAGCGGCGGCGGGCTGGCGAGCGGCTTTGGGTGCTCGGTTTCGCATAGCAGGGAGGGCAGAGAAGCGGCTTTAGGTGGCTCCCTCTCCCCTTCCGGTCAGCTGCCTCGACGTCCGCGCAGATGGCCCCCGCGCAGAGCTTCTAGGGGCAAGCGCGCCTTGCCGTCGTCGTTCGCTAAAGTTTTGCGTCGTGGAGAATGAGGACGCGTCTTTGCCTACCGATTCACGTGGTACGCAAAATGGCTGGTTGGTTTGCATCCTCCGTTGGAGCGTATTTCCGGGACGCAAATCACTGTACGTAGCGTATTTTGCGTTTGGGTCGCTCTTTGCGTCCACCGTTGGAGACAGTCCAATGAAAGAATGTATAGGGGTTTTTTGTGTCAATTGATTGATTTGTCATTGTGAAAATTTCTTGCTTGTTCATTCATATCAAACTCCATAACAAAATACTGAAGGATCTTAAACCCACTTTTCTATACACCACAAAGCTATAAACCCGAATGCTCTTTGTGCATGGTTAGACATATTTATGATTGTCTATAACATAATTTGGTAGGTGGTTTCACAAAATGAATGTTTTTAGCTATTATAAGCTAAAAATATTTGAAACCATGCTCTCTTAGACTTGTCCTTATATAGGTGGAAAAGGGTCAAGTGGTTTCTAAGCTGTGTAGTTAATGGCATAGCGTTGTGTGAATACAACTCTACTTAGTATTGTAAACTAAGTAGTAATTTGGTGCTCATATGCATTGTGGTATGATACAACTAGCAATAGTTATGGACTTGTTGTACTCTAAAAATTATTCTCACGCTCAATGGAAGATATTGGCGCTAATTGCCATGGCATGACATCCTTAAAGACTCTTCCATGGAACGTGCAAGAAGTTGATGCCTCTAATTCCATGTCAGTTTCTAGGTAATTTAACTTCCAGTGTGCTATGTTGATGCAAAATTTAACCAAAGATATGTTTGATACAGTAAGAATTTTATAGATTTGTCTATCTATCTATCTATCTATATATACTATAAAAGAGCAAAAGATTTGATAAATACCTCACATCCAATTAACTCTTATCCACCTTTTGTCTTACCCCTTGGATGTTCTTTGGAAATAATTTAGAGAGAATTATTTCCTTGGCCCTGTTCAGCTTACTTTTCTGGCCTTTTATTTTAGAACTTACTTATTTGACCTGAAAGCTATCTTTAGTTACTTATATGGTCCTTCCATTAGTTTTGGGAACTTAACGGTGTTAAGTCAAGGTTGAAATGACCATTTTGCTCCTGAGTGAAAATTAAATAAGTGCAGAGTTTAGTTTGTCTATGTTCAATTTTGAGGAATATTTAGCAACAACGGAATATTTAGCATGGTTTAAAAGTATTCCTCAAAATTAAACAACGGAATATTTAGCAACGTTTAAAAGTATTCCTCAAAATTAAACATAGACAAACCGAACTCTGCACTAACTCATTTTTCACTTAGGGGCAAAATCGTCATCTCATCCTTGACTTAACAGTGTTAAGTCACACAACAAACGGAAGGATCATATAAGTAACCAAACATAGCTTTCAGGCCAAATAGGTAAAATTTCAAAAATAAAAGGGTCAAGAAAGTAAGCCAAACTTTTTTCAGGGCCAAAGAAATAATTCTCTCAATAATTTAGCGTGTGAAAATCACACAGACCTTGATCGTGGACCTAGGTTGATATAGTTGATACAAACATTTACATGTCTATTGAATTTGAATTCCAACGCCTACTTTTCCTCAACCGGCCCGGCATACCCACCTCAGAGCAACTCCACAAGACTCCATATATCCTTCATAATTACTATGAATATAGATTTTGGTAAAAAAAATACCCTCCAACAACTTCTTTAAATGGTTATCCAAATATAACCATCTTCTTTTTTGGATTTCTCACTAGCCAAAAATAGAAAACGGAAATGACTCTCTAGAGTGTGCACAAGATATAGAAAAATTTGTTGGAGGATAGAAAATAGAAAATGATTTTTATGCAAATGATGAATTAGAGAGTGAGAATTAGAAATACTCTTGGAGATGCTCTCATGTACCCACACTTCATCTATTTTCAACTATAATATATGATTCTTGTGAAATCCCTATGTTCCAAAGAGCCCTAAAAGATTAAAAGATTTGATAAATGTCTCTCATCCAATTGACTACTGCCCATATAGTATCTTGCCCAATGATCTAGCGCATGAAAATTAACCACCCAACCTTAACGTGTGGACTCAAGTTGATGCGGTTGATACAACTATTTACATGCTTGTTGAATTCAACTTCTGACGCATATTTTTTTTCTCACGTGCCTCGTGTGGATGGAGTGAAAATAGTTGTAGTCAAGATATTCAAGATATTTGAGGGTGGATGGAGTGTAGAAATATTTGCTCTAGCTTGTCTCCACATGGAGCCCTCCAACACATTCAAGAAAGTGAGACAATCTCACATATATAGCCCCACCCCCTCATAGAGCCATTGAAAAAAGTCTGTCATTTTCTGCATACAATGAACGATCTGCCACTTTCAAAATCTTCACTGCCAGATCACATGATGACACTAACTATTGACTAACCATTAACTTCTTCTAACACACTAGATGATCTGCGGCCGTGCTTGCAACCATCTAGCAAACTCTTTGGACAACGTCGGATGGTCCACTTGTCTCCTTGTCCTCATGACGAACCATATGGTGAATGTTCAAGTAATGAATATTCCCCTAGGCGCTTCATTGATCCGATTGTTCGACGCTCTCTTCTTCACTTGGCCAGAGGGTCCATCCCATTGATCATCAAAGTGCCTTAGCATTGAGTCTGACCGTGCATGTTTCTTTGACCACCGAAGAATCTGTGATGTGATTTCTATGTGCAGTAAGTCTCTTTTACTCTTTATCTTCGCCGGTCTTTTGTGTCATTTCTTTTATGGCATCCCTAGGATCTATAATAACCCATCTAACACATATTTTTAGCACACATGTTAGTTATAAACTTGTGTTGTCATCTTAATCACCAAAAACTAAAAGATATGATCATGAGCACATGATCCTTATAAAGGTGGGCCTGTGATGCAGGGTGTCCAGTAGCAGGAGATTGGACGAAGACTAGAGAGGAGGAAGAGTGGTATACTAGACACTCAGAGAACACTTTTGGAGAGTTTGACAAAAAAAAAGACTGACTAATCTGGATGATAAGAGAAGGCTCCTCTCTTCCCGGCATTTATAACTTTCATTTTTTGAAAAGTTACAAAATTAACCGGCGGTTGATCCTACAACATTCGCGATTTTCCATTTTGAGCAAAAAAATATTTTCGCAACTTTTCTTTTTTAGAAAGTTACAAAGTTATATGCATAACTTAATTATATGTATAGCTTACTAGTATGTGACAATTTATCACCACAACTTCCCATCATAACTTTTTTTTTTACTTTTTAGAGATTTTAGGACAGATGAAGAGATAACACAAAAGATGCATGTGCCCTCACATTATTTCCTAATCTGACACCATCATCACTATGATTAATAGTGATTAGTTGATAAATGGCAAGTACTTAATGTAAAATTGGTTTGTCTCCATTCCCTTATATCTAGGTACAATTTTTTAATGCTTAGAAAAAGTATATGCGGCATAACTTATTAGCTGACAACTTATCACCACAACGTTTCATCATAACTAAAGTCACAAAAAAATAGTTTCATCATAACTTTTTTTTAAAAAATGTTTTCGTGACTTACTTTTTAAAAAGTTATAAAGTTGCAAGTATAAGTTTGCGCATCATTTTTTGCGTGACAACGTGTCACTTAACTTTTTACCATAACTCTTATAAATTTGCGATTACGAGATTCAACTAGTTGAGAAAAAGATGAAAAAGGAGAAATGGTAGAAAGAAAGAAAGAGAAAAGAAAAAGAAAAAGAAACACGCGTCAGCAAGGCGTCGAATGAATCCGACCTGCATGCACGGAACGTTCGGTCGATTCAGAATGGTAGGAAAAAGGGCATGGCTAGCGCCCGGACGTCCGGACGTTAGCCCCTGCCCTGCGCCCGTGCCCGCATGTTGCGAGCCTATCTGCATGCGTCCCGCACGCACACAGGGGCTGCCTCCGCATGCGCATGTTTCCTGTGTCTGCTAATGTTGCAACATAAAGTAATTTTGTAACTTACATCTGAAATAAGTGAAACATTTGCAACATACTCTTGCAACATATGTTTATAGCCGCTGCAACATATGCAACATCCAAATAAAACACTTCAAACATACATCTGAAACAGATGAAACATTTCGAATAGACGCTTCCAACATAAGTGTATAGCCACTGAAATATATGCATCATCCAGAT